TCTAGATCTCTAGCTCGCTGACTGTCATTTGTTCGTTCCACAAATAGACACAGGCGGTGCCCAGGCGACAAATGAAAGGCTTCTGGACAGCTCCTACTTGCCTTTTAATAGTGTATAAATTTGACTTCACTGTGAATTGGATTCCACTTGATGGCAGTGAATTTTTTTTTAATGTTTGAGTTAAACCTTACTTACAATAAATTCATCACCTTCACCTTCTGTGGCTTCACATGCAGCTTTTAAGTCCCTGAAAACGCTTTGAGCCTTTTCTTACACTAAACGGAAACCAAACCAAACTCACTGCCAGCAAGTGGATCCGGATCCATAGCGACCTTGTACAGGGTTTCCAACACTTTACATCTTTATGGGAGAAGAGAGTCTCAGCTGAACTGACTTATTATTAGCACCTCAACACCTAATCCACAGCACCTCTTTTCTCACACTAAGTGGGTTTGCAGGCTCCTTTCTTACACCAAGCAGAGCCCTCTGCCATCAAGTTGATTCTGACTTAGATCCACCCAACAGAGGGTTTTAGAGGCAGTCAATCTTTAGAGGAGCAGACAGCCTCGATATTCCCTTGAGGAATGATTGGTGGATTTGAACCACTGATTGTGAGGTTATCAGACCAATGCTTACCTAACAGTGCCGCCAGGAGTCCCTGTCTTACATTAAAGCACTGGGTGCTCCACCCCTTGGGGGGGTGTTGGAATGATGGAGGGTGGAAGTGGGCAGCAAAAGCAGATCTCTATACTTTATGCTGGATTATGAACTAGAGCACAAAAGTTTTTCATTACCAGGGAGGGCTGAGTAATTTTTATTTTATTTTTCTGAAAAAGGAGCAGCAGGCCAAATAAATCCAGAAACACACACTCCTCTGGGTAGGTGGTGGCTGCGCATGAGAATCGCTGGCTGGAAACTGAGCCTGAATCTCCCACATGAAAGCCAACAATTCTATCACCGAACTACCAGTGTTCCCCCCACCCTAACTCCCCCGCCCCCTGCCTAGAAAGTGTGTTTGTCCTTCAGCATCAGGCTTCTGCCGGGTGGGAGATTCCCTGGTGGCTTAGAGTGAAGTGCTTGCCTCCTAATGGAAAGGTTGAAACATAGCCAGAGCCACTTTCAAAGAAAAACCTGGCGACCCACTTCAGCAAGACCAGAGCCTGGAAAATCCCGTGGAATGTGATTCTGCTCTGAAATGTGTGGGGTCACCCAGAGTCAGAAGAGAGTCAGCAACAGCTGGTTTGGTGTGGTAGAAGCTGTTTCTCTGCCTCCCTGGTGGCGTCAGGCACAGTGCTGGGTACAAATGAACTGTTAGAATGTAAGGGGCTGATACCTGATCCCATCAACACCTCATGATCGAACAGGCTGGTGTGTTCTTCCATGTGGGCGTTGTTGCTTCTGAACTGGAGGGCCTCTTGCTTATCTTCAAACCTTTAAGACCCCAGATGCTATATCTTTTGATAGCCGGGCACCATCAGCTTTCTTCACCACATTTGCTTATGCACCCATTTTGTCTTCAGTGATCATAATGGAAAAGTGGGTGAGGTTGTGACGGAGGACAGTGTAAGATATGGAAATAATCATCTATAACTTATCAAGGGTTCGTGAGGGAGGGTGGACAGGGGAGGGAAGGGGAAGAAGTGGAGAGCTGATATCAGGGGCTCAAGTGGGAAGAGAATGCTTTGAAAATTACGATGGTGGCATATGTGTAAATGTGCTTGACACACTGGATGAATGTATGGATTGTGATAAGACATGTAAGAGCTCCTTATAAAAGTATTTTTTAAAAAAAAAGAAGAATAGAGGGGGTTGGGACAATCACTCACAGATTATAAGTATGTATTTGGGAAAAGCTTCCCAGAGAATCTAATAAGTGTTTCAGCTCTTACTGAGAACTCCGGGTTAAGGAGACTGAGACCTGGGTTCTGTTTTGAGAACTCCAACTTGCAGTTGACTTGGACGGCAGCATAGGGCCTGAGGTTCCTCCTCTGTGAGAGAAAGCTTCATCTGTCCTAACTTGTTCCCTCTGGGTTTGTGACAAGGCTGCAGGGAGCAGGGCTCTCCACTGCTTCAAAAGATGAAACTTTACTGTTTGTCTGCTATTTCTGGCCAACTGAGATTCTTGTCGCTCAGCACCTGTTTATTCATTGGCAACCAGGGAAGTATCCTGGCCAATAAAGATGTGTTTCGTAATCACTGTATACATGTAGTGTGGGAACTTATAAGAGCTGGCATTTTACTCTTCTATCTCCTGGGAGGAGTCCTGCTGGTGCAGTGGTTAAACACTCAGGTACAGAGAATGAACCCAAGGGTTGGTGGTTTGAACCCACTAGCCCCTCCATGGGAGAAAGAGGAAGCAGTTTGTTTCCCTAAAGATATACAGCCTAGGAAACCCTACTCTGTCCTATTGGCTTCATATAAGTGAAAACTGACTGACTGGCCATGGGTTTATCTCTTGGGGAGAGAAATCACTTAGGATGCCAAGGTTGGTGTGTGGGTGGGTGGGAGGTCAAGGCATGGGTAGAATTAGCCCAGAAGGTGGGGTTGACTCCAAGTGGCCTCTTGCCTCTTCTCTGTTGTGAATTAGGTTCCTAACCCTAGCTGAAGATTTGCCGTCAAGGGAGGGGTGGTGGGGTGGAGGACTGATACGTCAGCAGGCCCTGCTTAGTTTCTTTCCATGTTCCTCTCCCAAAGAGGATCCTTCCACTCATTCATTCATACTCATTCATTCAACTGACAAATACTGATGGAGGGCCCCCTGTACTTCAGGCTCTGTTCTAGAGGTGGGATAGAGACAAATCAGAGGCATCCCTGGGTGCTATGAGCTGTGGCAGTTATATAATCTCCTGTCAACGTGAGCAAATTAGGTCATAGCCAATCACGCCTCTGTGTGGGCATGGCCTTCTCCTGAGGATTCTGGAAACTCTTGTCTTCCTCCCTGGAGGCAAGACACATACTCTCTCTGCTTCACACCCCTAATGACAAGCCACATGGAGCCATGCTGATGGCAGCCAGAGCCCTGGAGAAATGTTTCCACTGCCACTGGACCCACAGGACTGTCCACCCACTGGCCTGTGATCTTCCTACCTTTGGCATGATTGCATGTGTTTTGAGAGTCTGAATTGGAATTCATGGGCTAATATTGAACTTAAGAACTTGATCTGGACTGGGCGTGGATGTTTTCTTAACATACAATTACTCGGATATAAAACTCTCTCTTACATACATGAGGAGGGTCTCTGGATTTGTTGCTCTAGTCCACTCAGACTAACACATAAAGCATACCCACCACTGATCGGTCAATGCCTTGAACCCCAAGTGCTTTGTGTGTCCAGAAGGGGGTTCTAGAAGCAGTGCCTTCACCTGGATGCTCTTCTGGTGGCATGTCCGACACTGCAGCTGGCCCAGATGGGACCAGGAGGCATTTTCTTCACCCACATGCAGGGAGAGCCAGCCTGCTGTTTCTGGAAAGAGTGTGTTTGTTTGCTGATTGCGCCCTTCCAGTCCCCCTGTGGCACCTGGGTAGAGTGCATCTTACTGCTGTGGGAGAATAGCCGCCGAGAGCCGGGACCCGGGCCTGAGCCACAAAGACAGTACTGAAAATGACGGACATCATCAAAACACTATTCGTACTGTGAAACCCGCGAGACTGGTGCTCGGCAGGACTGCCTTGTTTTCCAGGTCTCACGAGGTTTCTTTCGCCTTTCACAGGGTGCAGCCGCACCGTTTTTTTCTAGCGCCCTCTGTCTGACAGGTTTCTGCCTCACATGGGCTCTGGCTTTGACTGCAACCATTTTGAGAGCTTGGTGACCTGAGAGACAAAGAAGATCTGTTCGGCGTAGCTCTCCCCGCCCCCACGAGTTATTGATGACCTCACATCTCCTTCTCCCCTGTTCGCATCTGCCTCTTCAGGGAGGCGCTACTGTGGATTGACAGCACAGGAGTGAGGCAGGCCACACAGAAGATGTGAGAGATGGCTTTGACAGTGAGGAACAATGAGGTAATGAGCCACCATTCCAGATGCCACTTCTTATGGCTGCTCTCAAGGGAATGGTAGCACTCTCCCTGCTCTCCGAGTGGAAGGCGTTCATGCTGGGGGACTGTAGGACTTACGGCTTCTGCTAGCGTAGCCTACAGGGAGTCTGGTCTAGGATTTAGGGAGGAGGACGGGGAACCTGGAGCTCAACCGAGAAGAGGACAGGGGTTCCGAGCAGAAGCCTTGCCAAGAAAGCAGAATATGCATATTTGCTTCCCACCCTCGCTTGCCAAAAATCTTGGGACTGGGGATGGGGCACTCAGTTGATTGGATGGAAGGTACCAACATCTGGGGAACGCCTACCCAGCCGCGCCATGGTGCTGCTCAGGGAACTGTTACCTCCAGAGGCTGGAAAGAGATCGCGCATCTTCTGTGTGGCCTGCCTCACTCCTGTGCTTTCAGTCCACAGCAGCGCCTCCCTGAAGAGGCAGATGCGAACAGGGCAGAAGGAGATGTGAGGTCATCAGCAATAACTCGTGGAGGCGGCAAGAGCTACGCCGAACGTGTGTGTGTGTGTGTGTGTGTGCGCACTCCCCAGGAGACCTCTCTCCAGGAATGTACCTGGCTACTGTTGCAATAAACACTGTTCTGACAAGCCCATGCCCAAGCAACATGCAGTGATGGAGGATGACCTGATTCTGTGGGATTCTCGGGACACCAAGGCACTTCTTCACGCTGCTTTTCATTGTGACCTCCGGCCCAGCGGCTGACTCCTGGCTTTGGAACAATGGGGTGGGGGTGGGGGTGGCGCTCTGCGGCTCCCCCTCGCCTTCCGAGTGTCTGAGCTTGTTGGAGGACAGAGCCACAGTGGATCAGATCCGCTAAGCCCAGGAGGCCCTTTGAGGGGCTGGGAGGCAGGCCAAGGCCAAGTTGCTGTTCACCTTAGAAGACTCCCCCCCATCAAGCCCTTGACTTGCTTTCCCCTCATGATGCAGTCAGAGAGAGAGGAATTCATGACTCCGAGTAGAATAGAAGTGAACATTTAATGCCATCATAGTTTGATTCTTTTAAACACCAGATTCTTGTTCAAACAACATTTTATACCTCATATGCCACAAAAAGTCAGAGATCTTAGCCAGCAAACAATGTCTTCACACTGGAAATGGCACACAGCTTAATGGGATCATGTCGCCCGTTTGTGAGAATGAGAACTGTCTTTTCTGGACGGTTCTCCAAGCAGCCTGCTTATATTTACCGTGATCAAGCCAACAGGCAACATTTATATAGCGACATAAAGGCCCCCCCACAACACCAGCCTGCTTGCAAATAGGCTGTTGGAACCTGCCCAAGTACAGAATGGCTGAATGTCTTGACGGCAACAGTGAACTTGATTAAAACAATGTGGACAGCAAATACGTGTGTGCTAAGAACTTTTTTTTTTCAAATGGCACCATTTTTCATCCAGTTAAACAGTGACTGGAAAGCAACGTCATCCACTACTAGCACGGAATTTTGAAACAAGCTTTTATGGACTTGGTGAGTTCATGGGTTCTGACACAAGAACAGCACTTGGGCAGGCCGGTGGTTTCCAATCATCAATCGGCCCGTTTCTACAGATAAGCATATTTCTATATACATACATACATTGTTCATCATGGAACCAGAGAGCTAGACCAAAGGACCCAGGAAATCACTTAGTACGCATCCTCTTTTTGCAGATTAGAAAACCAAGTTCCAGAGGAGTTAGGTGAACTGCCTAAGACCAGAGGACTGTTGCCCGAACTGGCATTAGGAAGCCGTTTTGGGACCTGGTATACTCTCTCCCAGGCTGCCCACCCTCTGTACAGTGTGTGCATCCCCACCCCTGCACACACACCCAGGAGCACAGGAGGGGTGTGTGCAATTCACACATACACGCCTGGAGCACTGCTATTTAGTGGGAAGAGCAAACCTTGCACATCCCAGTTCTGCTACTTGTGTGCACAGTCACAAATGACTGTGAACTTGACCACTTGTGAACTCTTGACTACGGTTGCTTCTTTGATAAGTGCTTATCCCTTGCTCTCATCGAGCTTTAATTTCTTCAAAGCACTTTTCTTCAATTATACCATTTTTTCTTCATACCATCCCAAAGGGCAGCTGGCATCACCCCTACTTTTCTGATGGGGAATCTGAGGCTCAGCAAGGTTAAGTGACTTGCCCAAGTTTGCATAGCTGGGGAAGAAGCTGGGCCTGGTCCTCGGGGCTCCCTTACTCCTCGCTTAAGGCTTCCCCCCCAGGTTTAGCTGCCTCTTAAATGAGACTACTGCCCCCGGCCCCTCCCTGCCTCTCAGGGGCGCAGTGAGGGGAAACGATGCCTTAAGCAGCATGGGTTGTAAGACTCACTAAAGTGCTTTGTTTTCTCCAGAAATGAAAAACAAACAGGTACTATAGAGATTCAAAGTAAGAAATACTACGTGTTTTCCTAAACCCCTTTAGTAGCACCAGGGATAGGGGGGTTCTTAAGGAAATGTAGACGCCTAGTATTTTCAGCTTACCCCACCCCATTTAGTAGTGACCCATTCGGAAGACGCTGGGCCCTTTGTCCCCAGGCCTGTGCAGTCGCCTTCGCACATACATTATCCTCAAATTCAAAAGGAAGGTATCTTGGCCCCTTTGGGCACTTATTCTATGAACAGCTTAGATCTTGCACTAAGCCCGTACTTTGAGGACTGCACCGTAATCCCTCTTCTCCTGGGTTATTTCTATGTTCCCACCCCTACCCCGTGTCTCCCCAACAGACTTTGAGAGCACGGAGGAAACACAGCCACAGACCAATCCACTGACCAGCCACATCCCAACCACGAGGCAAACAGAAATGATAAGACGCAGGCAACGCTATTAGACATCATGAGATTACAGATCGTGATAGCTTCTTCAAAAATTGAACATGAATGTGCAGGGTGTTCGCTGGCAGTCGAGGGACCCTTAATTTGGATTTTGTTGTTGGAGCTTTCTTTATTTTTTGGTTTTGAAGGTCACCTCTATGTACACAGACACAGATGCAGGCATGCCCATGTTTCAGGAGCCAGCCCACCACAACAGACACTGGGAAGACTAACACCCGAGAGGCCAGCAAGCACCCACACCACTCTTATGCCCAACATGGGACATCATCTCCATTTCTGAGTGGGGTTACCCCAATGCAGACAATGATCAGGGACAGGGAGATAAATTTGTGGGTTTTGGGGGATTCTTTTGGTTTTTTTTTTGAGAAATGACTTTAACGTCAAGCGCATTTTGGGGGTTGGAACTGTTTTTGTGTTTTAAATCTGGAAATAATGAGCAGTTTGTTACAAAGGGTATGTATTTTGTCAGAAAGATTGCTCCATGACATAATTGAATTGAATGTTTACCCACAGATGTTGACAGATTATTTTCTGGGAGAGATGCTGTAATTAAATGGATGTGATCGTTATATTTCTGCCACCTTCCCTAACCCTCAGCCCCAGAGAAAGAACTTAAACTGGCAAGGTGTTCAGTGAGACTGCACCTCTGGCTTTATTTCCGCTGGACCCGAGTACAGGGGGCGGTGCTGGCCTCCGGTGTGGGACTTGCTACCTGGCAGTGAAGCTGGGCCAGGTGACAAGGACAGCAGGTGGGAGCCACAGTGGACTCTGTATCAGCTAGCAGCGAACAGGACTTCAAAGTTGTCCTTTGTACGGCTATGGCTTCAGGGTCCATGCCTGAAAAGTTAGGAAATCTTTGCGTAGATGCTCAGAGAGGGCCAAGAGTCTGGAAGGAAAACACAGTGTGTGCGTTTAGGCACGCTGCCATGTTCAGTCTGGAAGTGAACTCGCTGCTGTTCAGTCTGGAGCCCTGTGTGGAATGAGGAGCGGAGCTACAGTCAGGGCAACATTGCCATCGCGAGGACGCGGGCAGCGATGTTTGCATTGAACACAAAGTGCGCTCCTGGAAGCCTGACCCTCTACCCCAAGAATAACAACCAGGTTTTGAATGTGATTTGATCCCAGTCGGGGAGGCTTACAGCCTAACCAAGCTGACGATGAGCATTAGAATTGGAAGCCCAAAGGAGGCGCTGCCCACAGGGACAGAAGCGGCGTCCCCGTGTAGGCACAACTGCGTGTCTTGCTCCACAGCAGACCCACGCAGCAAACACACTATTGAGTCTGTGTTACTTTGCGAACCACCGTCATGCATGTGTGACTGTAATGGAATCACTGTCACCTTACAGGGACACACTAGGCTTGAGGCTAATTTATGACAAGCCGGGCCTAGCTCCTGTCTGCCAAATTCCCCAAGCCGACTGCCTGGTCTTTTATCCCAGCTTCTAATATTGGGGGGAAACAAACCCAAACAACTGCAGCCTCCTGTGGGGGTCCTTGTATGAGCCCCACCTGTGTCAATATGAGACCAACCTCTGCATTTGCATCCTGAGTCCCCATGTTCCGAATAGCAACGGAGATAAAACAACAGGCAGAGTGCTCTGATTTCAAATCAGGCAGAGATGAAAGGGAGAGGCAGCTTCCCCAGGACTCAGAGGGGACTTCAAGGACAAGTAGATCAAAGGTGGCAGTTGTCAGGTGGGAATTGGACGCCCAGGATAAAGCAAACTACCTCAGCATGAAACACCATCATGAAATACTATCTGGCCTTGCTCCTGGACCGACAGTATCACCATTTGCTTTCTCCTTCTTTTCTTTCCTTTTCCTGGGGGGAAGGGGTGCGTGCTGGCAGCAGTTGGGAGGTTATGGCTGTGGAATCTTAGTTTTGATCTACTCTCAAACTGATCGATTTTGTATTTGGGGGAGATGGTACCTTTCAGACAAGTCGGGGCTTTCATATCTAAACATTAATTGCAAACAAACATTCTCCTGATCTTTTCATTTGTGAATAATGCACTAGAAATTGGCTCCATGGCCTCCTTGGTGAACGAGTGGTTGTACATTGGGCTGCTCACTGCAAGGTCAGCAGTTTGAAACCATTGGCTGCTCCTTGGGGGGGAATGATGGTTTCTACTCCCGTAAAGAGTGATAGTCTTGAAAACCCACCGGGGCTGTTCTACCCTATCCAGTAAAACAAGATCGACTTGAGGGCAATTAATTTGGTTTTTGTCATTCCTCTTTGTCTCTGTGGGCTGTTGTCCAAACCAAAGTGCAATCTGGAACAACCTTACGGTCATTGCACAGAGCATCATTCTTCAGGGGTTGGCCAGGTCTGCTGTGTCTAGGCAGAGCCAGGAACGAACACCTAGCACAGATCCATGGTTTATCCATCTCTGGTAAATGAATACATTGTCAGCTTCCTTAGGCTTAAAGAAAAAGCCAGAATGGACAACATGCACATGGAATTGCTTTCCTAACCCATGGCCCACAGAGTCCCGTGCATTTGCTCTGTAAGGTTGCCTCAGCAGCTTGGGCAGGCAATCTCAGGGAAACAGTTCTTGGTTTCACGCCCCGCTGTGCTAAATGTAAGAAAGGGGGCGTAGGCAGGGGCCTGGCTAGGAAAGAGCCCGGTGGCCGAGGTTTGAAATCTAGGTAGCTCTTCTCACTTGGTTTTCCTCCAGGAAAGGCACCCGTATCCTGGAGCTGATGGCTTAGGGAGGTGAATGCAGCCTGTACCCCAGGGCCAAAGCGAGCACACTGGGTCCGTATCAAGTGAATGAAGTGCCAACAGGACTTGGAATACTCACCCGGGACAGGACAGGCTTTGCGTGAAGTGGCGTATTTCACACTAACAACCAGAAGGGCTGCCCAGGGCTAAACTGAAACCCAAGCTGGCGCCTTTGAGGACCCAGCAGCTTTCACCTACTCACACAAGTGCTGGGAGCCCAGGCTCGGTTCCGCTTCATGGAGATGTCCTCCAGAATGGGCTTCCGTTAAGAAACTGGGATGACACACAACTGAAGTTGGGTGATGCTACAGAGGGGGAAATGGCTAACTCCATGTAACTTATAACTCCCATGCCTTTAACCAGCACATTGGGGCGGATCTCCTGTGAGCCCCTCTGCTTCTGAGCAGACTCATACAGAACGTGCCAATTACGACTTAGGATCCTCGGAGTTGGTGTCTAGTTGACGGGCTGGTCTCAAAACCAGTGAGCAAACAGGGCCAGCTTTGCCCTGTCCTAAGTCCACAGGCTGCTGGGACGAGTGCTCTGAGGCTCAGGAGACATCAGCTCCCCGCTACAGAGTTCGCTGAGCCCTGCTGGGTGCCGAGCTGGCTGAGCTGGGAGTGATGTGTTCACAGGGGCACTGGCAGAACACCTTCTTTGGGGAATTGGTTAGCGGCCACTATCTCGCCTAAAGAGACTCGTGGAGGTCTATAGCATTGGAGGTGAAAACTTGAAGAGGACTATGTGCAAATTGCTGGCTCCCTCAGCATCAAGAAAGCTGGCCCTCTGGGAGAGGGCCCTGAGCTGCCTCTGCCGCCCCACAGCTGTTACCAGGCAAATCCCTTGACCACTCACTTCCTTGGGTTCTATCACTCTGGTGAGTTCACTAATCCCTTAGGGAAATATTGTAGGGAAGGATGAATCTAAATCTGAGAAGGTTCTAAGTCTTGGGAAGCGAAGAACGACATCATGTTTGATAAAGTAGGGGTCAACCAAAACCAGGGCGACTGTCAATGAGATGAGTGGACACAATGGCTACAACAAAGGGCCCAAACATGCCAAGGACCATGGAGATGGCACAGGATGGGGCAATGTCACAGTCTGACATGTGGCCCACACGAGTCGGAGTAAACTGCGCAGAGACGGACAATACAAGAGCTGCGTTCCTGTATTCCTTAACCTCGGCCCTGTGCCTCTCCACAGTCAAGGAGTTGTCGAGAAGGCAGCTTTCTCTGCCTCCAGGTGTCAAGGGTGAGGGCCTTCAGCCTTCTTGGGTAGGAGCTGAACGTCTCGCTCGTCTGCACAACAGGAAAGTGCACTCGCTTTGCAATCTCAAGACCTGATCTTGTCCTCAACTCAAACTGCTTGAGTCTCTTAGCTTAGGTCAGCCCGAGATGATGGTCTCTCCTTGGGGAGGTGGGGGGGAGAGGGGGCTGCTTTCATCAATAGACAAAACTCGAAAATTAAAAAGTATGGCTCTGTGGGAATGGTTCAAGCTTTCAACCAAGAGTCTTTGGGATAGAAATGAACATGAGGAACATCGGGGGCCCTTGCGAGGCCTGGATTGCTGGGGAAAGGATCAGTCCATGTGTCCAGACTTAGCGAGGGAACTGGGAACAGACCATCCTACTGATGAGAGTCACGCAGGGCCCACACCATATGGGTTAGTCTTTCTCTTCTGCTTGCTAGAGCTCATGTGCGCCTGCTCCTCACTCAGTGCTGAGTCTGTCCCTGGCCGTGTGCTGTCTGGGAGGTGGCATCCTGCCTCCCCTGCTGCTCACAACCTCAGGGAACACCCTGGTTTGTGTGATGAAGTCTCCGGGCTCTGCCAAGAGGCCTGACCAGAAGAACCATAGAGGACGGTTAACATTTATTCATATGCAATACTGATTAGGAAATCTCTACAAACACAACATCCTTAGAAACAGTGAGTTAGAAAGAGGATAAAACACCAAGAGGAAACGAGCTATAAATACACTGCAAAAGATGTGTTGGGGGTTCGTTTTCCGTTGTTGCGTCGTTGCTGTTTTCGTCTTGACTAGCACCATCTGTACACAAGACAGTACGAACATAAATGTTTGGGTAATAATAAAGATTTGCAAGGCACTTAATCAGTCATTCTGGGTAACTTTTTTCCTGTTGTTTTCCTTTAGCTTCCACGGCAATCCTACGCCCACCCTCCCCGTCCTCGGAAAGCGAGAAGGGGGAGGTGTCTTTTGCTAACAGTTCTTATGTACAAACAAGGTCTTTAAAGTTCCTCAAAGTGCTTTTTCAGTCTCGTGGGGCTGTGACGTCCCTTGGGCTTCCCATCATTGTCTCCTTCCACGTGTTTGGTGTGTGCACCTGTCCTACAGAACACAAAAGAATCCTCGCCTTCTATTCAACGTCCGCTCCAGACTTGCCACCAACCTTCATCCTCGTTCTAGTGTCTTTGAGTGCTGCCAACCCAGGGTGTGACCGTCTCTGTGAGGGGCTGTGGGCCAGGGGTCCAGCTCTTCTTATCGGCGCCGAGAAGTGATGTCGAAGCAGGTGATCATCATGAGGTGGGCCTTGCAGAAGTTGACACGGTTCTCCAGGCGCTCCGTCACGCACTCGAGCGCTTCCAGGTACTCCAGGGAATCCAGTTCCAAAACGTGCTCCAAGTCAACTGCAAGAGAGGAAGAGACCGGTGGAGACTCCGGGAGCACACGGGGAAGGAAGGAAGGGTGTGGAAACGCTCAGCCTGGGCCACGCTGTCCCTTTCCGGGACGGTCTACCTGAATCCATATTGGCACGGCCTCCTGCCTAGCTCAGCATGAGAAGGAAAGACGATCTCATTTGCTAGTTTTTAACTGTCTTGGCAGGCGTTTTGCTTTAATTATATCTTGAACTCAGCTCGTTGCCATCAAGCTCATGCCCACTCGTAATGACCCTGTAGGACATGGTAGAACTGCCCCTGTGGGTGTCTGAGACCATCACTCTTTGCCAGAGTAGAAAGCCTTGTCTTTATGCTGCGCAGCAGCTGGTGGGTGCCAACTGCCGACCCTTGTTTGCACGAAGCAGCCCCACGTGTTACCACCATGCCACCAGGACTCCTTAAAATTTTGTTGAGACTAGACTGAGGGATGGACTCTCTGGATGGGCTGAATAGTCACCACCCATGGTTGCTAACCTATGGGAAACAGAAGGATTTCTCCCAAGTTGTCTCCCCCAAATATATGCCAAACTTAGCTGCTTGCGAATGACTATACACTTGGAGATCATCAGGAGTAGCCATCAGAGCAAGCAGACACCACTGCTTATCCCACAAGTAGGGCCCACTCCCTTCTGATAAGGATAGTAGTCTTCTGTTCCCTTGTAGGAGACACCAAAGAGGTCAAACCCGCCCAAGGATGACCAAGGTTAGGCTGCCATCATGAATCTAGGGTCCACCCATCTTGTCACATGTATACCCCTAGACCTTCCCATTCCTATGGGCACACCCCTAGCTCATCCCCTTCCTGTTACGCTTATGCCAATCATACATCCCCTTCCTACACATTGTACTATTGTACTGCCTATTGTACTACCCGTTCCTGTGACATGTGGTTACCTGTAATCATGTCCGCCTAATGAGATATAACCCTTGGTTAGCAATAAAGTGGAAGCTCTCCCCAGTCCTCGGCCCCGGGGGCTCTCCTGCTCTCGCGCCTGGAGCTCTCTCCTGCTCTCGTGGCCGGGCTCCCCCCACGAGGACCACCAAGCAGGGCTGAGGTGAGCATGCTATCATGAATTTTTCTGACTCCATTATTTCAATCTCTCCTCTACCTCTCATGCTCTCTACGACTTTACTATAATCTTTACTCATTATCACTGTACAATTGCGCCTCCCGGACTTGTGATGATTTGTGGGGGACTCTTCTCGCCCCACACTAACCAAAAGGTTGAAGGTTTGAGTTGATCCAGAGATGCCTTGGAAGAGAGATCTGGTGACTTACTTCTGAAAATCAGCTATTAAAAACCCCACAGGGCCATTGTGAGTCAGTCACTCTGACGGTGGTTATACTGAGGACGAATGCGTCCTCATGGCACAGTGGCTACATGCGTGCCTGCTCACTGGAAAGTTGGTAGTTCAAACCCAGCTTCTCCATGGTAGAAAGCTGTAGCAGTCTACTTCCATAAAGATTATAACCTTGTGGTATTATCCTCTGGGGCATGTCTACTCTGATTTATACATTCTATTCTGGTTTATGGGTTGGAATTAGCTCCATGGAAAGGTTTTTTTTAAACTTATTTGTTTATACTGGGAGATAAGGTAATGTCCTAACACCATCTACCTCCACCCATCTCCCCCATAGAATCTGAGAATGAGTCTACCTGTATCATTATTTTGCATTTAGTATAAATAAATAAAACTTTAAGCTGGGTGGGGGGAAAGCCCTTCCTTTATGTAATCTGACTTCAGTGACATTTATACCTTTGTTTGTGTGGCATGGTGGGTTACTAATAGGCTTCATAGGCTTTCTACTCCCATAAAGACATACAGCCTCAGAAACCCTCAGGGGAAGTTCTTCTCTGACCTATAGGGTGTTATGAGTCAGAATCAATTGGCTGACTGTGGGTTCTATGTACATGAGTTCACGCCTGTTTGTAAGTGCCTCTCTAAGCAGGTTGAGAAATGTCACCCTGTCGCTTGGTACTTCTTTTTTTTTTTAATCGTTTTATCGGGGCTCATACAACTCTTATCACAATCCATACATACATCAATTGTGTAAAGCACATTTGTACATTCATTGCCCTCATCATTCTCAAAACATTTGCTCTCCACTTAAGCCCCCAGCATTAGGTCCTCATTTTTCCCCTCCCTCCCCGCTTCCCCCTCCTTCAGGAACCCTTGATACTTTATAAATTATTATTTTGTCATATCTTTCCCTGTCCGACGTCTCCGTTCACCCACTTTTCTGTTGTCTGTCCCCCAGGAAGGGGTCACATATAGTTCCTTATAATAGGTTCCCTCTCTTGGTACTTCTTAATGCAATTTCACATTTGAGAAATTTGATAACGATAATGAAATCCAAACTTATAATTAGGGCTCCTTACACCGAGCTTTAGGACCCAGAGAGGCACCCGAATGTTCAGGCCTTGGGGGCACAAATGGCTATGTAGTGGGCTACTAGCCAGAAGAGTGAGTGTGGAGTCCAGCCGAAAGCACTTGGAACAGAGGCCTGGTGCTGCACCCTGCAGAGCGCGGTTCCCTGTGACCCGCGCGTGGCCACCACGAGTGGGAATGGACCCAAGGGGCCCTTTTGTTTTCTCATTCAGAAGACAAGGTAGGGTTTGAGGCTCAGGGGCCTTGCTGCACATTCAGACTCACTGAGAGCCAAAGATCCTGCTTCCTTCCATTCCTCGAAAGCCGGCTTCTGGGCCAGCCGCTCCTGATCGGAGTCTCTGACACGGCCCAGTGGTGCCTGAGTAGAGGGGTGCGGCAGTACAGGGTGGGCTTTGAGGTGGGTGGGCATGGGCCTGGGTCCACAGAGGAGCCTTGCCCTTGCTTGGCTTTCACCTCATCTGTTTCCTTATCTGTAAAATCCTTACCCTGCCCACCTGGAAGAGTCACTGAGCAGAATAAAATACAAAGGACGGGTGTGAATACGTTTGAAATCTGTCACGTGCTACAGAATCATGAGAGATTGTCATCAGACACAACTTCGTTTCACAGACGACCGACTTAACAGAGATTTGGAGAAGGCCTGGGCCTGGGCCAGTGACAAAGCTAGTAAGGACTCGGGTTGGGGATGCAACCCTGGGTTCCCAAGAACCTGTCTAAGATCTGAAACAAAAACCCAGAGCCACATCAGTCTATATTGCTATGCCATCTCTCAAGGGGTTGATCAGAATTCCAAAGTGGGAGACTCCGGTACACGTGTCTCTAAGCCGAATCCTGGGCCTGCTGCAGCCCCGCCCCAGGGAATAGTCAGCGTGCAGCCGCATTGATTTTCTCACTCCGGTCTTCAAGAAACAATCTGTATTTCCCTTTCATCTAGCCTTCTGCGTCTCCCCTTTCTCTGGATAAAAACATCACTGATGTCTGGCATGTTCAAAGAGTAAAGCGCTCAGCTGCCCAGTGAAAGGGCTGCCATTTGAACCCACAGTGGCTCCATGGCAGCCACCTTCCCCAGAAAGCAGCCTCAGGGACCCTGCGGGCCAATCCCACTCCAGCCCACAGGGTAGCTGTGCATCAGAATTGACTTGAGGCTGTGGGCACAAAGGGCAGAAGGCAAAAACAAGTTTTCTGGAAGCTTCCAAACACCCATGCAGCGCGGTTTATCGTGGCTGGGAACACATGCGACTTTGTAAGACCGTTTTCAAGCCTGGTGGGCACACACACCTTTCGAATCCTAAAATTCTGACGAGAGGCGTGAGGACGAAGGGGAGCTGACTGACTGGATCTTGGGGTGCCGGGGTCTTCACGACAATGGAAAGGGTTCTGGCACAGGAGAGAAAAAGCGCTATGCCTGCGTGTGTAAGTGGTCGGGTTAAAAGAAAGCAGGAACAAAGACAGAAGCTGGTTCTGAGTCATGGTGACCGTGTGCGTGTCAGAGCGGGTTGATTTGTCAGCAGTGGATCACCAGGCCTTATTCCAAGACACCTCTGAGGGTGGATTTAGCCCACTTGGTTCGTGGCTGAGGCACCCAGGGACTGACTCCACGTGGGAGCGAGGCAGTGCTCCTGAATGCCTTCCGTCTTGTCAGTCCCTTAGGGACTCCGAGGCATGCCCCCTGGAACCAAAGAGATCCTGTCTGGGTCCTAATTTCTAATGAAGGACCAAACTCCGCGCAAGGTGCAAGCAGATGCGAGGGAAGCACTTCCTGTTGGGAACTTCTATTTTCTTGTGCTCTGGGGTGATAGCAATGATGATGACAGCCCGGTGGTGCGCTTGCATCCCATGCCAGCAGCGTGGGTCACGCTAGACCAGGAATAAGCTACTGTCCCTTCACAACAGCTCCATGAAGCACGCGCCGTTGCACTGCCCACGTGACATGTAAGGGAATCAAAGAGCAGAGAGGTCAAGCCGAGGTCCCAAAGTCAGTAAGTAGGAAAGCCGCAGACCAAATCAGGTCTGCATGACTGTGGTCACGACCACCAAACACTGTCACTCAGACTACAGAGTGAGCCACAGCTCCGAGACAATGCCCTGTCCTCACAGGACACCCCTTAGCCTTCCCCACAAACCAGCGAGGTGCCTGGCTGAGAAGTTCCGACCCATTCTTACAGACAAGAGTGCCCTGGGAAGCAGACGGTGCTAAGGGGCACCGCACCCATCCTGCCATATTCTCCTTGACCTAGTCTGATGTCATCAGCATTCGTAACATGTTCACTGCGCGGAGATAAATGTTAGAGCCCTGGCGGTATAAGTGATTACACATTGGGCTGCTAGCTGCAAGGTCAGCGGTTCGAAACCTCCAGTTGCTCCTTGGGAGAAAGATGGGGCTTTCTAATCCCATAGAGTTAAAGGCTCAGAAACCCACAGGTACAGTTCTACTCTGTCCTATAGGGTCACTGTGAGTTGGCATTGACTTGATGGCATGAACTTAGCTTGGGTTTGGAAACACACACACACACACACACACATATGTATATGTATGCATATGTGTGTGTATATCAAAACACTTGCATTTTAATATGTACAATTCAGTGTCACTAATTGCATTCACTATCATGTATACCATCACCACTATCTGTTTTGAAAAGAGTTTCATCACCCAAAACACAAGCCCCCTGTTTTTCAAAGCAGCTTCTTTTGGAGCTGACCCAGTTAAAATTGGCGGTACTTCATCCTGGAAGTTTTGGGGGTGCTAAAAGTTTTCGACATTTTGAGTTGAATGGGTATAAACATTTGTCAAAATGCATCTAACTTAAGGTGACCAGATGTCCCGCTTTTGGGGGGACAGTCCCGATTTTTGGCATTTTAAAAAAGTCCCGATTTTTGGAAAGAATGCACGACAAGCTAGGGAATGGTCTAATTGGTCCCTATAGACCAAATTTTTAATCAAGAACACCCCCCCCATCAATGGTGTCCCGCTTTAAATCTGATCACCTTAATCTAACTGTACACTTAAAAGGAATGCATTTTGCTGTATGCATGGTGTGCCTCAATCATGTTCATTAGAAGATAAGCGTGAAATGCCAGCTTCTCTGGAATGCAAACCCCAGCTTCCACACGTTCCTCGTAGCATGTTCTTCCCACCCACCACCGGCCAGCCTGTGGCTGGGGGCCGACAGGAGGGGGCAAGGGGCAGCACTGAGGGAAGGGAGGCCGAGCAAGGCTGGTGGGGCTGGAGGGACGAGCTGGGGTCTGCAGGAGAGGAGGGCGAGCAGAGGGGACCCTTAATGACAGTAAGATATTTTATTCCCCAGTTCTTCCAGAACTGGTGCCCATGCCAATGTTATATTTGGGGCAAGATTTGAGCTCTAGTTTGTGATAAATGGCATGGTTAGGAACAAATAAATAAGACACAACTGACTCTGTACAGAGAGCAAAATTGCCCCGAATTGTTATTCGATAGTTACTGTCATCTTGAGTGGACTATTAAATGAAAGTAACAATGTGAAAAACAAAAAAAATAAGTTATTTTTTCCACTCAAAATGTTTTTCTTGCTGTCTACGACACTCCACCCTTCCTAAAGCTCTGTCCATTCTGGCCTATTTCATGCGAGCTGGGCAGGAGGTCTATAGACAAGGAGCCGTCCAATTTACGTTGGACAGATCTGCAGTCACGTGCGGGGGAGGATCTGCTTCTCAGATGTTTTGGCCTGGGCTGTTCCTCATCCCTCACTGTGTCCCCAGCCCACAGTAGAAGCGGGCTGCAACTCCCTGCCACTCTCCTTTCGATGGGCATGGCACACCCTCAGCTTCAGCAACGGCCTAACGCTGGCCCTGAGGACTGGCCGTCTGCTTAGCTGGGGACCACGTTAGTCACACGGTGGCGATTCGCTGCGTCTTACATTCACTCAGCCATTTGTTGGGATCCAGCATCAGATACTGCTTGGTCATCTCCAGCTCCTTCATCAGCCACTCATACTTGGCCCGGACCTCGGCGATCCTCTGCTGGCGATGCTCCAGGATTTTCAGCTTTGCGTTGAAGCACGCGACCTCCTAGAGCCCAGGCAGTGGGGAGAGAGGAGACAGGGGCCATCAGCTCAAACGTAGTAAGCACAACCTCGTCAGGAAAGAAGTGCCCACGAACCGTAAGCGGACAAGAGGCAGGTGGGGGAAGTTTGGAGCGCACCCAAGGATCTCAGTTGAATTTCTGCCGCGCCACAGGCATGGGGCAAGCCTGTGTTGCAAGCAGGACCATGCCCTTCAGCCTCGGGTATGAAGCCTTAAGATACACAGCCAGAAAATCCCCAAGACCACCAGCGCCCCAGCCTCTAATCCTTTAAGGAAGACACTCCGCATAGCAAAACGGGGGTCTGAGGGCCAGGCCTCCTTCTGGAGGGAGCCGCTGCTTCCCACCCACATGAGAATCCTGGTGGGGCGTCCCATCCCTCTGAGGCTGAGCCCCCTTCCTGAGCTGCCCCGGGGCCCCATGGGGTTGCTGCCACTTGGTGGGGACTGGTGGTCTCACCTTGCCGCTGCCCCCTCGCCGCCGCTGCAGCCGCTCCACGTCGTCGATTTCATAGACTTTAATCTCGAAAGGTTCCCCGAGGCCCCTCTGGCTGCTCCGCAGGGGGCCATCCACCCAGCGGACCCCGGAGCTATTGGTGGGCTTTCTGCCCGGGGAGGATGTGTCCAGGGAGAGCGCTGGGAGGAGCCGTCGTCTTTGTGAGCCTACGTGGGGGTGTGGGGGGAGGCAGGGGGAAGACCAGAGTTCAGTTCTTGAATTCCAACCTTGCTGAAAGGGCGGTGCTGAGACCAGCACCCTGGGCTGGAATAGTTCCAATCCCTGGCCACCCTCCTGGACGATGAATCCCTCGGAACGCGCACTCAATCTGGACTCCCAAAGCTCAGGAAAACCTTTACAATCCCTTTACCACCACCTCCCAGGTTCCACCTGGACCCACACGAACAATCCATGACTAGATGGTTCCTTGGGATTTTCTGTCCCCCATAGAAAAACGTCTTTCTACTAATATACACATAGTAGCTCATTTAATCCTCACCGAAGAGAAAACTGGGGTATAAGGAATGTAAGTAACTTGCCGAAACCCCTAAACACCAAACCCATTGCCACAAGTTGATTCTGATTCATAGCGACCGTGTGCAGGGTTTCGGGGGCTGTACCTCTTCACCTGAGCAGAGAGGCTGGTGGGTTTGAACCACCGACCTTGTGGTTACCAGGCCAATGCACCACCAGAGGTCCTTCATTTGTCCAAGGTCTCAGTATTTTCTTCTTAATACAAAATCAGGCAATGATAATTCTTCCCAAAGGGTGTGCTACTAACACCTGACACATAGTTGGTGTTTGTTTAACACAAAGGTGTTTGGGGGGGAGCTTGTGATCTGCCTGGGGAGGTAACAGTGAAACCACGCTGCTTGCTGGCCTCAGGAACAGGTCTCTGTGGGTTTTATAAGCAGCCTTGCCTGGAGGACCAGCAGAGGCAGGCGTCCCATTGCCCCAAACAGCACCTCAGCAAGGCTGAGGAAGCCAAGGTGTGGCTCTGGTCTGCTGCGCACAGGGCCTCCACGGTCACCTGAGTCTGAAAGGAACTGGCCTTTGGCTTTGGGAAACCATCACGTTTTTGTACCATGTGTACCAGTGGGTGGGTATGGTGTCTCTCTAGCACCTGGATCTGTAGAGGGGCAGCCGCCCCCGAAAAAACCAAGCCTGCTGCCACTGAGTCGCTCCTGACTCAGCGGGATGCCATGTGTACCAGCGTCAGGCTGCCCACAGGTGTCCCTGGCAGTCATCTTGGCAGAACCAGGCGGTCAGTCACCAAATACCAAAGCACTGCTGGATGGGTTCGAGTCACCCACTGTACATGTCACCCAGGGACCTTCAGAAGGGCAGCACATGCTGGGCCTCGATGCCATCTCACATAGATGTCAGGCTGGGTCTGTGCTCTGTCCAGAGACACTCCCACCGGGGAGTTTGCTTCCACAGGGAAAAGGCGTTCAAGAGGCTTGCTTTCTCGCGGGAAGGAAGGTGCTGGGAAATGGGCTAGAATTCCAACGAGTGATCTGGAAGCTCACTGGAACCCACCCTGAACTGATATCCGACCAACTCCTTAGTTTGACTAAACACAAATCAAAACCAAACCCACTGCCAATGAGTATATTCCAAGTCATACCAAGACTAAACCTTCATGTGCAAACAGCTTCATTTGCTCCTTCAAGGAGAGGCCAGTGGGTTTTTGAACCACCAACCTTGTGGTTACCAGCCTAGCTAATCTCATGAAACCAAACCAATCTCGCAACCATTAAGTTGATGCCGACTCACAATGACCTATAGGACAAGGTGGAACTGCCCCTGTGGGTTTCCAAGTCCGGGACTCTTTATGGAAGTAGAAAACCCCATCTTTCTTGTGAGGAGAGCCGGGTGGTTTTGAACCATTAACTTTGTGGTTAGCAGCCCAACTCGTAACCACATCACAACCCCCAAACAGGTGGCATATACCAGAATCCTTCCCCAGGAGTACTTTAGTTTTGGGGCCTTCTATGCTTTTAAACAGCTCCATCTCAAGTAGGATTGGAAGGAGAGTAGCAGGGAGAAGGAGCGAGCTTGCATCTCTGAGAACCCCAAGCACAGTGGTTCTCAACCTTGCTCATGCCGAGACCCTTTAATGGAGTTCCTCATTTGTGGTGACCCCCCCCCAACCATAAAATTATCTTCATTGCTACTTCATCACTGTCATTTTGCTACTGTTATGAATCGGGCGACCCCTGTGAAAGGGTCATTTGACCCCCCATAGAGGTCGCGACCCACAGGTTGAGAACGGCTGCGCTATAGCAAGTCTGAAGAGCAGGATGGTCGCCTGTGCTTCTTAATGGTGTCACGTGGCCAGAAGCACCAACCCTTAGAAACAGCGCACGCCGGCACAGCTTCCCTCGTAGGAGCAGTGGTTCAGGCGGAATGCTAAAGATCTTGGAGGGGTAAATGCCCTCTCCTCGCCAGTCTTCCCTCCCTCCTCCTGTCCTCCCTCCTCAGGGTTCACTTCTGAGGCAGCAGGACCTACTTGGCTTGGTGTATTAGTCTGGGTACTTTAGAGAAACAAGTCCACAGAAACTCATGTAGAAGAGAGAGTTTTATATAAAGGTTAAGTGCACAGCAAGAAAACACCCCAACCCAGTGCTGCCCAAGCCCACAAGTCCAACATTAACCCATATGTCCGACGCCAATCCACAAAGTCCTCCTCCATCTCACAAAACAGATGCAATGATGCCAACTGCAAGAGGAAAGCCGAATCAGTGAATGTATAAGCATCTCAGCACTGGCAGCGATCTCCACACGGCTGCTCCAGCCCCCAGGGCTGCATCAGGGGAGGTCCATGCGGCTTCTCCTCGGGGATGTCTTGCAGTAAGTAAGCCTTGCCAACCGAAGCAGGAAACTGGCTAAGGCAGCTGCACCCTGGTCTGACCATCAGAGAGGAAGAGACCCGAGAACCAGAAAGGCGAGGTTCACTGAGCCATGTATCTCTCCACCCTTCAATTAACCCCACGTGTTGGCACAATAAACTAACTACCTCACCTGCTAACTATTCTAGGGGGGGAAAAAAAGAGATCATACCTTTTCCAACTTCAAAAGTACCAGTGACTGCTAAACAAAGCTTATCACAACCTCAGACAGAAAAAGAGCCATACTCCTTAGGGACAGGGACCAGGGGACTGAGAGCCAGGGGTACCTTTTCATGAACTATTCTAGGGAATTTAAAGAGTGGGAAAAGCCACTCACTGCCCCTGCAAGTTGCAAGTGGAGCAGGGCACTCACTCAAGGGCTTCTGGGAAACGAGCGATTCTAAGCTCCGATCCAGTCTTCTCTACAAAAGCACTGTGCATTCTGAATTCCCGTGGTTTCATCATCAAATCTTGCTTTTCAGAGCTCAGCTCTTCATCTGGTCTCCCTACTACACACAGAGAGAAGCACACCGAACAACAAGGATTTTTCGATGAAGTATAAATAGACACTCATGGAGACAAGCAAACACCATCTCCTTTGTGTCCGCAGCATTTCCAAGGGAAACGAACCAGACAGCAGATGGTGTGTCTGTTTTTAAAATCCGTCTGATCCGGCTAGTTCACTTGGAGCACACCACTGCACCCCGGTGACAGCCTCTGTAAAATGGGATTCTGTCTCCGCAAGAAGAGTAAGGACGAGCATGCGTGAGCGAGCACGGTCTGTTCTGGCAGACACAAGAGAGCTCTAGCCCTCTAAGATGCAATGGGAGGATCTGATGGTTTGATTCCAGGTAGGTACCCTTGGGCAACTCAGACCATTCTTAGGATCTGCCTGTATGAGCAATGGGGTAGCACCGAGGAGAGGCATGGCGTATTAATGATCTTTTGTCATGCAACAAATTACTCCCAAACCTAGCAGCACAAAGCAGCAGATATTTACCCTCACACGCTTTCCTGAGGGCCAGCAATCTGGGGAGCACCCAAGCCGTGGTTCGGGCGCAGGCTCACTCCCAGGGTTGCAATCAAACTGCGGGGGGCAGCTGATGCCTCTACTTTCAGGAGTATTGTGACCTGAAGGATTATCGCTGGTGCCCTCCCACCACTTGGAGGCATCCCATCGTTACCACAGGGCCTGCGGCTGGGCCTCCGTTGTAAATCAAGCTTCCCTATCATCTGCAATATAGTGGGTTAGGCGTTAGGCGATTAACGTCAAGATCAGTAGTTCAAAACCACCAGCCACTCGTCGAGAGGGAAAACAATGAGGCTTTCCACTCCTGTGAAGAGTTACAGTCTTAAAAACTCACAGGGGCAGTCCCACCCTGTTCTATAATCCTACAGAACCATGAGTTAGCATTGACCCAATGGCAGCGTGTGAATATCGTCCATAGGCCTCACTATCTGTACCTCACAAGCTGATGCCATTCCACGCACAAAGGCTCCCAGCTTTCCGTTGAACTGCTCTCTGCTGGGGACCACCACCTGCCAGACAGTGATGGAACCAAGCAGCATCAGCCGGGAAGAAGCGACAGTGGTGGCAGCAAACGTCCTGGTAGGAGCTAGGTGGTGGGGTTGGGGCCTGCTGGGCCCTGCCATCTGGCTGGGATTATGCATCCTGAATGAGCTTCCTCCGGTAGCCAGAGGGTCAGCACCCCTTCTTCCAAGCCATTCCCTCACCGTCAGCCCGCACTCAGTCCAAACATGTGTAAGTCAAGTGCACAAAGAACATCTGCGCTGGGAATGGTCCATGCAACTTTGCGCCATGAAATGGCCAGATCTGACCCGAGAACGTCAAGCCAGTATTTAAATGAAATTTAAAGCCAGGCACCCTACCCCTGCACAGAGCTGAGACTATTTTCCTCCCCAACACGCCCCCGCCCCCCAACTGACTCCCAGGATAGCACAGTTTATTTCCCTCTCTACTTGGCTGCCCTGAGGCCCCAGGTGAGCAGTGTGCTACTGGGACATCCATTTGGAACACCACGAGCCCAGGCAGAAGGGCACACGCGGGGACCCAGTGCTGGCATCGGAGTCAAATGTCAGCAAGGCGGGGCTCTCAGAATACGGGCCACACTACACTCCTGGGAAACACACCTCTGTCCCTCAAAAGTCACTGCCTCCAGCTTCTCTCTCCACCCCGGCTATCTTCATTCTGACTCAAGACTCATGCTCCATGAAGAAGGCGAATAAGAGTGTAGGGTGTTGATGGTGCATGGAAT